CCCCCATAGCCTTGTTTAGCCTCAGTTTGCGATGGATGCAATTCTGTTTTACTGACGTCATCAAAACCCTTGGCAGACTTATCTTGTCTATCTGTCTGGACTCCATATTTACCCCCAAATCCAGTGGAATAATCTACACAAAATTACAAAAAAATGTCTGTTTTCATGGTATATAACCAACATAAGAACAGTTATCCTGAAATACATATTTTTTTCAAAAAAATATTTTTTAAATCAACAAATGAAAATTTCTTTCATTTGCATAAATGATATTAGTTGTACATGAAAATCAGAAAAAAATATCAAAAATACTCCATAAAACATAATTTCATTGTTCGGTGTTTTGTTGAACATGGTCACCATTCATTGGTTTTCATACCCTTTTGTGAGGCATGCTGTGCAAGTTTCTCTTGATGCTCATACCCCAGAGCTGACGCATCAACCCTGTCTTTTTGGATGCCATATTTACCACCAAAACCTGTAGCATAATCTGTAATCCAAACAATTATCTTTACAGATCAAAAGGCAAATCATAATTCAATAATCAGGATGAGGATTCATTAATTTATTGCCATTATTTTCTGCTGCCAATCATTTCATTTGACACAATACTATAATTAAATAATTTCCAGAAATCAATAATATCATTTTGTCATTGCAGTAATCAAATGCACTGATCAATTCTTATAATTAATTAATTTATTTATTTGTATCAATGTGATACAAGGTAAATGTGAAGGAAAATGATTGTCTTGATTGTCACCTTTCTGTGAGGCGTGTTTGGCCAGTTTTTCCTGGTGTTCCCAACCCAGTGCTGATTTGTCAACTCTATCTGTTTGTACACCAAACTTTCCTCCATAACCTGCTGCACTATCTAAATAAATCACGTCCAATTCATAAGTAAATTTAACAATTTCAAACTTTCATACTGTTATGGTGCTTATTCAAGAAATAATTCAAAATACTAACGACTCACTCAAGAGATATTCAATCTTTTAACAAAATAGCAATGTGCACGTGAAAATGGTGAAAATAAATCACTACCACTTAATGTAAAAGGATGAGGTTAAAAAGAGTGCTCAAAATCAAGAGGACACTTTTTTAAATTATGAACGCTATTCTACCTTTCTGTGACTCATGTTTTTCTGTTTTGCCCTCATAATCCCAGCCAACAGCAGCCTAAAAATCAAATCAAATGTATTACAATGATGATCATTTTTGAAATAATTATTATAATTGCACATGAAAAGATTACATATAACATAGATCTTAGCAATCTGCAATCAAATATTCATATTTTTTGTCATGGGTTAAATCAAATGTTCTTAGGTTTTACCTTGTCTACCCTATCTTTTTGTACTCCAAACTTGCCTCCAAAACCTGTTGTATAATCTGAAAAAAATCAAATTTGAACAGTTATTCCAAGTACATAATTTTATAACAAGTTGCACAGTCATATTTTGTATTGTATCTTAGGGCACATTCCCATAGATTTTAGATCGATCTATCCCCGTAGGGAGTCTCACTAGGTTACTGTCAGCTAATCCGGCTTAAATGTCTGTCCCGCCTACTACAAGCTGTAAGGGTTGATTAACTTTCGTGCCCGCTCGGCTGACAGCTATTTAGTGTGAACCCAAAGGGAGTTAGGTCGATCTAGTTGGATCGATCTAATCTCTGGGAATGGGGTCTTACTTTTAAACATTTAACACTATCTAACTTAAAATGCTGTTTTGAAACAAGTGGAAAAATAATTATCTAATTACCACTCGAAAATGTCAAAATGATATCAATAAACAGGACAATTTTCTCACCTTTCTGTGACGCATGTTTAGCAGTCTTTCCTTCATATTCAAAACCAACTGCAGCCTTAAATAGCACAAAAATGTATTAATATTTCCACTTACATGTTTTGGATAAAAAGCATGCAATTTCCTGCATTTTTTGCCTGGTATAATGCATCTATGATACATATTTCAAATATCTAATTCATCATCTAACACTAATAAAAGAAAAAAATCTAGAAATACTTTTTTTTTGTTCTACCAGAAAGACTCACCTCTGTCTTAATACATGAGAAAATAATCATGCACAGGTTTTTTAATTTATCTGTGAAGCATTCAAAAACTGAAGTCAACAAAAAGCCTGAATCATCTTTGCAAATGCTTCTAGAGGCTGCCACAAATTCCCACAAAAATATTCTGCTTTACTTTTTACACAGACACAGACAAGACTATATGTGAATAATTTGCTGTTAAACATGAAACCAATTTACAAACTTAGTTATGGTACCAGGGTGCATATGCTAAAGTACCATGGGGACAAATTCAACACAGAATGTCGTCTCAACAGCACCAGTTGTCAAGGTCTATATAACAACTTCTAACATGCAAACCAATGTCAGTAAATGGTCTCACTTTATCCTTTCTATCTGCTTGAACACCAAATTTGCCACCAAATCCTTTGGATGCATCAGTTTGGCTGGAATGTTTGGCTAAACTTGCTGTATATTCATGCCCCACTGCAGCCTGCAGAACAGGAAACTCCATAGGTCAACATGCTGAACACTATAATACCAACACCATGGAACACAAAACATTTCTCCCCCCATGCATGGCCAATATGAGCCAAACAAATATCAAAAAGCAAACATAATGATGTAGAGTTGGATATCTATCTTTTCCAAAAAAAAAAAGACTCCAATTTTTTTTTCTGAAAGAAATTTTTAAGAAAATCAAGAATGAAATATTTAGAAAAGCCAAATTTACTGAAAGAATGAATCATATGATGGTTATAAACTGATTTAACTGTATTTGTAATTTTGTCGATGATCAAATACTGAAGTTTTGCTGAAACAAAAAACAAACCAAGAATTCAAAATTGTCACGTTACATAAAAAAACATACCCAGAATTTACTCAACAGCCAATATCACACTGGCTTACATTACTGTACATGTAACATTAAAAAAAAAGAAATACCATCCCTACATTTAAATTATGAAAGCATGATCGATTATGCTGTGATTGTATCAAGAAATAATAAATTTTAGATATCCAAGTAAGACTGGCTTACACATTCAGAACCTTCCTGTATATATGAGGCATTTCAAAACAGCATTCCTCAATGCCATGCAGGGTAACAGCATGTGTAAACTAGTGTATAAACTAAAGCAGATAATGAAGGACAAAAAGCTATTTCTGAAAATGTGCAAGGAAGTGAAACCCAACAATATAAAGGAAACAGCTCTCAAAAGTCATAAATTAGTTTGTTAATGTTTTAACAAATGAAATGTTTGTTAAGTGATGACAACAGTGTCAACTGTACTGAACATATCAACAATATCAATAACTGTCGGCCACAATCTTACTTTGTCCATTCGATCGGTCTGGACTCCATGCTGACCGCCATAACCATAGGATGCTTTTGGACCTGCATCATACTGCTGTTTCTTAAATGTGGTGTCATCAGTTTGTACCTCCTGTCTAAGCTGCTTCAAACTATATGAATAATACATAGCATTCACCAATAAGTTTTGAATAAATAACAGAAAAATGCTATGTGAAGTGGTAACATCATTTAAACTTCATTCCACACTTGAGCATTTAATAAAAGATGAAGCACTAAAACAACCAGTTATCAGAATGTTTTTCTTTTGTTCTCTTTGTTTTTACTACATTTTCAGTAATAATCTTAAGACCATAACTAAAACATTGTTCACTCAATATACGAATCTATAGGCCACTAACAATG